GCGGGTCTGGAAGCTTACGAAATATTATGATGTGTAAACTTGCGCAACTTTTCGCACTATATAATTTCCTGATGGTTATTTTGTAATTAGATTATTTACAAATTATTTAAAAGAACTAAAAAAAGAAAAAGACAAATGAAAAGTTTCTTTTATTTACAAATACAATAATTTGTTTCAATTTATATTATATTAAATATATCTGATATATATTAATAAATTAATATTACAATTAATATTATACTGACTATTATATGATACTTTTACAAAACTAATAATGAGTATCTTATGATAGTTTGTATTAAAGCTCTGAACAGTTCAGTTCGGTTCTATTTTTCAGTTCTTTTCTGATTAGTCAGAATCTGTTTTGTGCAATAACTTGCCATCTAGTGATCATAGAAACCTGATCAATAGCTCGTTGGAATCATCTCATTGAGACGGTTCGAATGGTACCAAAATTATCTTTCTAGCATCGATAGATGGCGAGTTATTTTTTGAAAAATTGGCAAATTAACTTGCCATCTATCGATACTAGAAAGATGATTTTGGAACCATTCGAACCGTCTTGATGAGACGATTCCAATGAGCTATTGATTGGATTGCTGGATGGTGAGTTATTACACAAAATGGATTCTGACCAATTAAAAAAGAACTGAAAAATGGAACTGAACCATTCGGAGCTTTAGTTTGTATATAATGTATTGTGATATTATTGTAGTATTAATTTTATAATATATTTAGAAAATATTTTAGGCATCTAATTATAATAGAATATATTTTTAGGTTAAAGAATTTGAATAGCATTTTGTATAACAAAAAAATATACAAAATATTTGTTTATAATTTTTTTTTTCTGCAGCACATTTGCAGTTTTATTAAAGTAAAAAAAAACAAATTAGAAGAAACTATATATAAAATAAAGTTTTAATAACATCTACTCTAATATAATTAAATTACAAACTACTCGTCATACATATAGTACCTCATGTATGTATTGTTAAATAATCGTTTAACTCCATAGGTAGACTTCATTTAGAAACAGGTCATTTTAGCTATAAGGCCCTATCTTTAACGTCAGGTAATTACAGAATCTAAAATTTGTTTATAATTAATAATTTATAAATAAATAATTATATATAAATAAATAGATTCTATAAAAATCTTTTAATATCCTTTAATACTGATAAGAAAAATTCTTTAAGGATTTTTATTAATTATAGAATTTTTAGAATCCTTAAAAATTTGCATCCTAAAAAATTACTAATAAATTATATTTAAAAATGGATAAACAAAAAATGAAAAATCAAATAAATTGAAAATAGCATTTAAAATCTCATTTTTTGCTCTAAGTAAACTTGCAAAGTAGATCAAAATACTATAATATATATATTTAAAATTTGTATATACAGTTGCCACTAGTTATAACGAACCTGTTTGTACCAAAAACTTGTTATATTGAACCAAGTTTTACAGAACTGATTTTTTTATAATTAATTGCACTGGATCAGTGTTGGAATTGGACATTGTCCAATTTCCAATAGTGGACTATTGGACTTTGGACCTAATGGAGATATCCAGTCCAATTCCAATTCAAATGGACTATGTTCTCATAAATTTGGCCGAATTAAATTTTATATACCATAATTCTGGCCAATTTTATAATGCCAGCTAAAATTAATTTTAATTCTTTACAATTAAAAAAGCATACGTGTACATAAATTTGTGCTGTAAATTAACTATAATTGGTTAAAAGGATGACCAATCAATTGAAAAATATAAAAAAAAAAATTTTTTTATTTAATCTCTTTTTGCGATCATCTTCAAAATAAAACAAAGAAAAGATAAGAGTACTCATTTCTAATTTTAATTATCATAATATTATGGGCTGTCGACCACATTTTTAATACCATATGTTATAGTTTTGCACGTAGCAAAAAAGGCAAATAAAAGCAACAAATATGCAGTATGTCGAGCTTGTATTAGTATTATTGGAAAAGATGAAGCATATAAGTTAAAGTTTACAAATACTAAAAAAGAATGTGCACGTCATATTAAAAACTGTCCAAATTTTGCGCAGAAATATAGTTCACAACAAATAGCAAAACTTCTTGATGATGCAGTAAAAGATGGTGCGAAGAGTAAACCATTTAAAAAAAGATGTCGTACAGAATCATCTGATGATGGATTATCTGATGATGATGACAATGATAATCCAATACTTGAAGAAGAAACATTAAATTTGGATGAGATTACACTGGATAATTATATATTCCGTCCATTAACAATTATTCAAGAACAGAAACTTGAACAACTTTTATTGGATGTAACTGTTTCATGTGGCTTTGCATTCCGATGGAATGAAGATCCTGCAGTTAAAAGTTTATTTCATTGGTTAAATCCAATGATTGCATTGCCTTCTCGAAAAGTATTATCAGGACGTATTTTAAAAGATGCAACTGATGAAGTTTCAACAAAATTACTTGATAATGCTAAAAATGATTTGTTTGGTGTAACCCTCGCTTTTGATGGGTGGAAAAATGTGGCACGACAACATATTTTTGGAAAGCAATCAATTGCGGCGGTAATAGAGGTACTGCCAATGAGATTATTCGAATTACACAACAACTTTTTGCAGAATTGAATCAAGAAAATATAAGAGTTAATGGGCTAGTTACAGATTCAGCATCAGAAAATGCTTCTGCATGGTGTGTATTTTCAGTTTTTTATTGTTTAATTTTAATTATATTTAATTATTAAATTTATAAATGTATTATTAATAGGAAACAACTTTAATTACTTTATCGTGATAAACTATTTTTACCCTGTTTTGCTTATCAAATGAATCTATGTGTTGGTGATATATTTAAAGAATCAAATTCTCTTACAAAAGTTGGTGAGCAAGCTGTTGCAATTGCTAGTTTTTTTAACCATGCAAAAGTATGGATTGGAAAATTATGAGAAGAGTAAGCAGTAATGTATAAAAATAAATATTATGCATTAATTGTACCTAATGATACTCGTTGGAATTCCCAATATTATTGTTTTGCAAGTTTATTGTGATCAAAATCTGCATTAAAAGTAAGTCTTGATTTTTTTTAATAAAATTTATATTATTCTATTACTAAAAAAATTAAAATTATTAGAATTTAGCAACAAAAATTGAAGAACAAGAAAGTGATGATCTTTATGATTTTTCAAACGAATATCTTAACTGCATTTCTGATAATAATTGGTGGAAAAAGCTTAAAGAATTGGAAACATTAGTACTTCCCTATTGTGCTGCACTTAATCAACTTCAACGACATAATTCACAACTTCATGATGTTCTCCATTACTTTGGCAATTTAGTTATAGTTTTGCATTCATTAGATAATAATAATCTTAAAAACAAGCTTTTAAAAAAACTTGAAAAAAGGTGGAGTGATTGGGAGCAACCTCTTTTATTATTGGCATTTTTACTTCATCCAGGATATCGTATTGATAAATTTAATCCTGAAATTGAAACTTTGTCTTTTCCACATCTTGGTAAATGGGTTACTTATTACTATTGTGCTTGGTTTAATGAAGATCCGACTGTAATATTAGTTGAATTAGAGGCTTATCGACAAAAAAAATATCCCTATAATGATGCAACTTCACAACAATTTAATAATAATGTTTTAGAATTTTGGAATTATGTTCGTGGTTATTCTAAAGAACTTTATCGTGTTGCTAAACGTATTTTTTCAATTGCAGTAACTACAGCATCTCTTGAAAGACTTTTTTCCACAATGGGATGGTTACACTCAAAGCGGCGAAATCGTTTAGCAGTAAGTATTTTTATTAGTAATTTAATTATAATAAATATAATTATATCATTTATTAATATTTTTTTAAATTATTTAGCATGAGAAGGTTTTAGGAATGACTCAGTTACGTGCTTCAATGCAACAAAAACTTAAACAAAAAAAAATTGATGAAGATGCATTAAAGTTTCGAAGTACAGGTGTTGCACTTCCAGTAAATGAAAATGAAGATCCAAATGCATCAGATGATCTGAACGTGTCAGATGATGAATCATCAAGTGAATTTATTGAAACAGATGCTAATGTTCAAACTGAAAGTAATTGGAGAAGTGTAGTGTCAAGATGGATTAATATGTTAGAAGATGAATCAAATGAAGAATATGATAATGATAATGAAAGTGATAGTAATGATGATGATGAAGAACTTGAAATTAATGTTACAAATATATCAAATTTGCCTCATCCTGCTAGAGATCAAAATTCTAAATGGAAACTTCAAGATATTTTTATTGAAAGTTTAGGGGAACCCAATTATTTGTCAGCTTTTATTTTAGGTAACAATTAAAAAAATTTTAGATATCAATAAAAATGCTAAGCATAATTGATGAATTCAATAAAAAATTTTAATAAATATCAATAAAAAATGATTTGCAATTATAACTTTTATAATTATTTATATACTTGCTAAAATTACATATAAAACTTATAGCTGTTGGACAAGGTCTATAGTCCAATAGTCCAAATTTTAATGGAATTGGAATGGACTAAGTCCAATATTCCAATAGTCCAATAGTCCAAAAGTCCAATAGTCCAAAAGGCCAACACTGCACTGAATATAATAAAATCACATAATAAATTACTATATACCGCATCTGAACTTATTTTAGCCAACCCAAGTATATCAGTTACATATTTAGTATACCAAACTATTACGTGACTTTAATTAGTAATATAAAAGAATGGACTACTGGAAAAATTATTTCTGCTAGTATCAGATAAAATTTTCATTTGAATAGCTGGTAAATACTTAAAAAATTGATGAACACATAAATTTTAAATAAAATATAATGTTATCTGTTATAGTAAGTCATGTACTTTAAATATTACAGTATATGCTGCTATAATTTAATTGGATAAAATTCATATACCGAACAGTTCGGTATATGATATGAATATCATATATCGAATTCACCATATACTGAACCAAAATGCTTGGAATGGCAGGTTCGTTATATTCAGTGGTGACTGTATATATAGCAAAAAGTTTATTTAAAATTTTTTTTTTCAAAATCATATGATTTACTTCTACTTTAAATATCCTTTTAAACAAGAGTCCATCATTCATGGGGAGCTGTGAAATTCATAGCATTCTGTTCATTTTAGTCTATACACTCAGTAATTTCGGCATAATTTCAGCAGGTTCAGTTTAGGACCATTCCTGAAACTGAAACTCTGCCGAAAGTCAAGATTCAGGCCGAAATTGTCTGGCCAGCACTATACATTTTGGCTCGCATTATGAATTTTGTAATGTTTGCTAGCATTTTGCTGATCAATGATAACTATGAACCGGCCAATATTTTACCGATTGTAATTAATATATGGGTTTGTCACATGATTGCCGATCAATGTTGCATTTTTTTTTAACATTTTTTTAATTCTTTATTTAAAAATTATGATTTAATAATATAGGGAGTACTAAGTTATTTTTAATTCCATTATTACCTATTTATATAATATCATAACTACATATAATTTAAACAAACTAAATTATTTACTTAAAAAATTATTTTGTAATTTCTTTTAGTTAGTAAGTTATACTAAGTTATTTATTATTGCTTTATTTATATAATATTTACATAATTTAAATTAACTAAATTTTTTATTTAAAAAATTATTTAATAATATAGGGAGTAATACTTATCAGGCATTTACTAATTGGTGATTTATGTTAGTACAACCAGTTACTAAGTTGTATAAAAAATACCTATTACGTAAGCCTGATAAAACAGTTACTCGGCACAACGTGACCTAATAACTGCGGCACTGTCGTGCCTTACATGTACTGTATTTGCAATAAGAATATGATCAGTAAAATTTACTGAGCTGCGCTCAGTAAATCTCACCAATCATATTGCTTATTGCAAATACAACAGTTACTCGGCACTTCGTGCCGAGTAACTATTAATTATTTATTAATTCTATTATTACTTATTTATATAACATTTACATATAATTTAAATTAGCTAAATTCTTTATTTAAAAAATTTATCTAATAATATAAAATTTAAACTAACTTCTTTATTTAATAGATTGTATAAAGTTATAAGTTATTTATTATTGCTTATTTATATAATATTTACATGTAATTTAACTAAATTCTTTGTTTAAAAAATTATTTATTTATTATTTAATTCTATTATTATTTTATTTATATAATACTTACACATGACTAATTAAATTCTTTATTTGAAAATTATTTTGTAATTTCTTTTTGCTGGTAAGTTATAAGTTATTTATTATTACTTTATTTATATAATATTTACATATAATTTAAACTAACTAAATTATTTATTAAAAAAAATATTTAATAATATATATAGGGAGTAAGTTATTTATTTCTATTATTACTTTTATTATATAATATTTACATATAGTTTAAACTAACTAAAATTAACTATAATAAAAAACGTTATTTTAACGTTTTTTAACATTTTTTATAATGAAAAAATGTTATTTGACGTTATTTCAACGTTTTTATAATAAAAAAATGTCATTTGACGTTATTTAACGTTATTTTGACATTTTTTATAATAAAAAAATGTCATTTGACATTATTTAACGTTATTTTGACATTTTTTATAATAAAAAAATGTCATTTGACGTTATTTAACATTATTTTAACATTTTTTTTAAATTAACCATAATAAAAAACGTTATTTTGATGTTTTTTAACATTTTCTTAAATTAACTATAATAAAAAACGTTATTTTTTTTTAAATTAACTATAATAAAAAAATGTCACTTGACGTTTTTTCAATTAATTATAATAAAAAAATGCTTTGCATTTAATTACTAAGAAAAAACTTTTGGCATTTTTTATTAAATTACAATTTATTTAGAGTGTAAAGAAAATGCTCCTGCATTTTCTTTTTTAATAACTTAACTTCAGGTTAACAAGTCAATCGGTCAATCTGATGGGTCCCTGAATTGACTTGACCTATTCAGAATACTATTTATTATCTGTTTGTTTAATTTTTATTTAAACAATAAAGGGTAAAAAAAGGTAGAAATGAAAAAAAATTTTTTTTTTTCCAATAATTCGGAAAAAGCATGATGATCATTTGTTATTTTCGAAAATTTTTTGTTGAATGAAGATCAAAAGAATTAAAAATTTTATCAAAAACTATTATTTGATGGCTTAATTTAACGTGCAGCAAAGGTGGCACAGATAAGCCTAATTCATGATTTTACTCTAATGATTCCATTATCAATTTTTTGTTTTTCCTCCTACAGTATATATATATAATATATATATATATATATATATTATATAATATACTGTACATATACATATATATTATATATTATACATTATACAATATACATAAAACATTAAAGTAAAAAAATTACGCCCATATTAGGAAAATGACAAGGGAACCTCTGCCGATCATTTTTTATTGAAAATTACCCAAAAATTCGGGTAAAATTTGACAAATATAGCAATTAAAGTTGCCGATTTGTGATCATCAAAATTAAATTCTAAATCAGGCCAGACAATTTTTGCATAAATATCTTAGTGGTGTCAAATAAAACTGAAATTCTAACCAAATTCTTTTTAGAACTCTTTCCGCTCTCGTGCAGTGCCAAATTTTCTGAAAAATTCAAAATATATTTTTTTACAAAAGCTACGTGTTACAGTTTGTGTGTTTTAGTTTCTAACAATAAGTATGTCCCACCCTGCAAACCATACTAGGTCTCAGACTAACAAACAACAGGTGGACGTACCCAGTACTGTACTTTCTGGAGCAAACGAAGGAGTTCTGCCTCCCGTTCCTAACAAACCTTCTCGCCAAGAGCTAGGCAAACGCAACTTTAACGAAGTTAACAACCCTGTTGACCGTTCTGGTGAAGCTGCCAACGGTTCACGAAAAGAACAGCGTAATAGAAATAAAAATATCATTAATACCCCACTGAATAATAGTTCGTCTTCCACTATTTCCTTTGGGGCTCTCTCTTTTGAAACCATAACAAACGAAAGCCAATCGGATATTATGAATGAAAAACAAACAAATCCTGGCCAATCGGATGGCCTTACGACAGGACAACAACAAACGGCGTTACTACCAAATCTGTCAGCTGCAGATGCTACGCCCAATTTGCCCGAAAAAGAAATGATCGACGTCGATCAAGCTTCTGAAGGTTCTACCGAAAATGAAATCTTGTACTACGCCTCACAACAACAATTGATGTCGCTCGTCATTGGTGTAAAATTGTCAAACGAGGTTGACGCTCAAACAGCTAATAAGTTCTTAAGAAATACTAGGGACTACTTGATTTCAGATCCAGGAATTGGCCCTGGGATTACCCAGGTTTCAAAAATCTTACCAGAATTACAAAAAGTGGCTCCTGAGGAAAAATCACGTGATATAGATAATGCCACCCAAGATAAAGATAAACAAAGAAAGAAAAAAGATGTTTTAGGATACCGTTTAATCATTAATGTACTTTCTCGTAAAGTATATGAAGAAGTCATGGCAATGGACTTTCACCTTGGAAACGATACACTCACATTTACCTCTTACCAAAATATCCGAACTCAAAGAAAACAAGCTAATGAAGGAACCAGAAACCGTACAGTTCAGATATACAATGCTTCGTTAGAAATAACTACTTCAATCTTAAAACCGTTTTTACGGCGTTATGGAGAACTCAAAGAAAATGGTGTGTATGCAGCCAGACGAAACCCATACCAGCCGAACAAACAAACCTTTTATGCGACATATAAGTAATCTACTTGTGCTGACGCTTTCTATGGACAACCGATCTTATGGGTATATAATGAAATGCTCTACGTAACTCCAATGGAATTGAGCAAAGACAAAAGAGAAGAACGACAAGCTTTCTGCGCAAAATTAAATGGGTTACCACCTAACGCGAACGCTAGGGAATACCAAAGTTTTATCGAAGAATTCAATGTGCTTGAGTTTAGGATACCTAGAAACACTAGGACAAATAGAACACAGCTTTATGCATATGTTTATTTTAAGGACGAAGAAAGCATGCAAAGGGGAACCGATCGAGTAATTGTTAGACGAAACAAACAACATGAGTGGACACCACCAGATGTAAAATCTTGTTTCAATTGTGGATTTACGTCCCACCTTATAAGTGAATGCAATTATAAACCACCAAGGAAGAAGCCAATAAATAAAAGAGAATACTTAAATTCTATTAGACAATATCAACCAGGATATCATAGGAGACAAACACAAGATAATGTCCGTCCAGGATCATATGCAGACGCGTTACGTACTAGACCAAATAATGCAAGATACGATAGGGGACGCTATAGTAGTGAGGGATTCAGACAAGATAATCCGTATAGAAATCGGAATCGACCTTGGAACCGGAATAATATATATAAACGAGCTGAAGAATCCCAAAATTATGGAGATGACGAAAAAGAATTATATGAATGGGGAGACGAAGAATACGACCCTGAAAACATACAGCGTTCTAAGGACAGGGCTAATACTCTCTCCAGACCAAGAAGTATGAAAAATAGGAATTCATCAAATTTAGACAAGATTAATAATAACGAATCAGAAATTCAAGAAATTAAAGGTGATTTGGCTGTGTTACAAGATATGGTAAAAAATTTAGCTAGGTCTTTGGAACAAACGACGACCCAAATCAGCCAATATATGCAAACAACTAACATATCCAAAGGGAAGGATAAAGTGATCGATAAGAATAATAATGACGACATGATATTGGATAACGCCAATACAAAACAACAACATGCGCCTAAAAGGAGAATGGTTTCTTTCAACACCAATGAAAATAATAAACGACCACAAAACGAGGATACTTCAGATTCAGATTCAAATGATAACCGACAAAATAACATGGCTTTATTGACTGCTCAACTAAAGGATTTACATAACGGAATGGCAGCTATAACTCAAGGATTGACCAACATCAATAACAGAATCACAAAAGTAGACAACAATAAACAAATTCTAAACAAATCAGCTGATGGGGCAGCCGATTTGTCAACAACAACGACTACCAACAATAATTTTAATGATGGACAATCAACATAACAATAACAATTTAAATATTTCTAATACATCATCTCCCCCTTATAACGATACAAGGAAAAATAAAAAAGTTAATAATAGCAAACATATAAGAAACTATAAAAAAAGAAAAAGAAAAAGGAAAAAAAATGAACTTGATAACAGTATGATAATTGATACTAACATTATTCATTTTTTTAAGGTTGCGACATTGAACATAAGGCAACTAAACGATATTAAGGTTCAAAATTTGGCAGATTATTTGGAAAAAAATGACATAGATATTTTGAGTATTACCGAAACTAGAATTACTAACAAAAAATTAAAATTCATCACACAAAACAAATTTATGAATCATCAAGTTTTTGGAACAGTGGGTGTGGATTTTAATGGATCAGGAACCTTAATCATTATGAAAAAGGAATTAGCTAAGCATATTAGTAAAATGGATAGGTACAAAGGACGAATTTTAAAAATAGAGCTTACTTTTTCAGAACAACAAAAGTTGGCGATTATATCAGTATACAACAAAAGTGGAGATAGAGGGAAAGTTTGTGTAGAAACAAGAATTGATATCAATAAAAACATTATGAAAATGATCAAAGATAGTAAACAGAAAAATCAACAAATAATCTTAATGGGCGATTTTAATTTACAGTATAAAAAATATCTTAAGCAAAAGAATAGTAATAGAACTAGAGTTTCAGAACAATTAAAGATATTTGAACTTTTGGAAAATATGGAATTATATGACGTTTGTAAAGAAGTGCTCAATATTGATGATTTAGCGTTAACGAAAAATCATGTGACTCATATAACGAAAAAAATGGGCTCAAGAATCGACTATATCTGGGTAACAAAGAAAATTTTTGAAGAAATAATTCAAGTAAACATAAAGGAATATGATAGCAAAAACGATACAGATCATAAAATAATTTCCTTCAAAGTGACTCGAAACACTGTGTTGCCATCGATCGTATATAACAAGAAAAAACAAAGAAAATCTGATAAGCGAATTAAATATTTTTATGATAGAATCGATGAAGAGATTAAAGATGCTATTAAAGTTAAAGCCAAACAGGAGCTTAACGAGAGGAAAAATAGAATGATAACTACAACAATAACCTTAGATGAGAAGATAAAGCTTTACGAGGATGTTATTAATGCAACTAAAAACTCAGAAATTGAAAAAAAAGAAATATATCTAACTAATGAAAAAGAAGATACAAGTGTTAAAGATTTAGAATTATACCGGATAGTAAGATTCTTTATTAGTTTAAGAAGAAAATTTAAAAAAAAGAAAGGAATAAAAAATGTTAAACAACATTGGAAGAAGAATATAAGTCACGTGGACAAAATATTAAAAAAATGGAATGTCGATGGCTTCTATTACTTGCGTTCATATAGGTTTGGAAATGTACAAATCAAAAAATACATTGCGAAACTGGATGAATTATATGAAATTTTTCAGCTAAAACTACAGGTTAAAGTATCGACGATGAAAGAAGATAAAATCAAACACGCCATTGAACAACGACAAAAAGATTTGGAAGACAATCAAAGGAGAATGATAGACAATGTTATGGATAGAGAATTTAAGAAAATTACTATTGATAGAGTACTTTCTACCAATTCAAAAGGCGAAGACATACTAATTGTGGATGAAGATAAAATCAAAGAAAAAGTCGCTGATCATTTTCAAAATTGCGCTGGATCTATAAGTATAGATAAAGAAATACCAGAAGATTGGAAAGAAGAATATAATCCTAGGACACAACCACATGTTCCATCATTTGCATACGATAAAGTTTTAGAAAAGATATCTATAGACGAAATATTGGAAGTAGCAAAAGACTTGCCTTCTGGAAAAGCTAGTGGACCTTCAGGTATAACGTACGAAGATATTAAACTAACAATTTTACCATTAAAAGATCATATACAGGAAATTTTCAATGATATTATGGATACAGAAGAAATACCGAAACAATGGTTAAAAGCTAACATATATCCTATTCCAAAGCCGAAACCTTGGGGATATGATCTTAATAATACTCGACCTATAACTCTTTTAGAAACTTTACGAAAAATGTTCATGAAGATTATAACTAATAGATTGTCCGACGCTATGGTTAAATACAACATACTTAGAGGACACCAATTTGCTGGATTGCCAAAGAAATCCACTTTCGAACCGCTTAGAATTATTAAAGAACTAATAGATTACGCTAACGAAGAAAATAAAGAATTATGGTTTTTTTTAGTAGATATGTCGAAAGCTTATGACAGAGTTAATATTTTTATGTTAAGAAAAGCGATGAAGAGGATTAAGATACCTGAAAAATTATGTAATATAATAATAGGAATGTTTCAAGGAAGGACCAATCAAGTTTTTACTCCTGCTGGATTGACTAAACCCTTTGAAATGAAAACTGGAATAGATCAAGGGGAAATAATTTCTCCACTACTATGGATTATATTTTACGACCCCCTTTTAGAAAGATTGAGAAAATCAAATTTGGGATTTAAGATTTCGGCAAAAGAACAATTGGATATATATGAAGGATTAACAAGAGAAAAACAACTCAGGTTTCCAGCATGTGGATATATGGATGATACAAGCTTCTTAACAGGAAACAAATTGGACATGGAAAAGATTTTAAAGATAGCTGATTCTTTTTATACGCTTAACGATATTAAAATAAACAAGAAAAAATCAGCACTTTTAATAAGATTTAAGAAACGAAAAAGGCTAAATAAAGAAATCAAGCTCAGTTTTGGAAACGAAGAAGTGGAAATTCAACCTGTCAAGCATAATGGCTCTGAAAGATTTCTAGGAGTATGGATTAATATGTACAATAAAAGTCAACATATACAGCAACAAGTCAAAAATGAAGTCATGTTAATTAATAAAGCATTTACAACAAAAAAAGGATTAACTGATAAAATGATGATATATCTTTTCAATTATTTGATTATACCAATAGTAGAATATCGAACACAACTTACAGTTATGGATGAAAGGATAATGGAGAAATTAATGTCACCTTTTAGAAAAGTTTTGAAGAACAAATTGAAAATGGCTTGTACAGCGCCTAATGCTATCTTGGAAACTAATTACATTTACAATTTAAACAGTTTTACTAATAATCAACTTCAGGCAAAAATAACTAATTTTGTTTTACAGATAAATGACAAGGGTATTCTTGGAGAAATAATGGATATTCGACTTACAAGTATACAAAATCTTTTGCTTTTAGAAAATAATCCTTTGTATACTATCGACAATAAGACGAGTCACGTGATTAAGAAGTTTTACAATGAAAGTTTTACAATGAGGAATATACTTCTAATGAGAGATAATGATTTTGATTTAGAAAAAGATGATGGAATTGTGGAAAGATTTAAAGTGGAAGGAGGACCTACAACTGTTAGATTATTAATTTCAGAAGATACTTACGTTAATAACTTTAAATTTTTACAAGATAACAATATTCGATATATAGATCAACTGCTTTCTCCTAGTAAACGATATCTCTTAACAATCAAAGAACTTGAAGATAAAAAATATGTCAAACTTAGTTTAAAAGGAAGATTATCAGCTAATATTAATAATTATGACCAAATTATAAAAGAACTAACGATGTCGCCGCACACATACAAATTAAAAAATCATATAATCAACCAAATTGATGGGATCGATAGAGTAGAAAATTTAAGAGGGACTGAATTAATACCGGTAATGGCTAATATGAAAAAAGACGTTCCAATCATTATAGAAGTCAACATCGGAGGAAATTTACAAGCAGTCTTTGGAAGAACTAGAAAAGTCTTACCTGGTGGTCATTTAATAGCAATGCATATGGTGCCAATAACAACAATAGAAGATAAAGATTTAATATTAGAAAAATGCCCAGGATGTAATGCAGCAACGTGGTTAGATGTTCCAGAAGTAATGTTTTCACATTTAGAACGAGTTAGGATCCCGTGTATAATTATGACCAATGTTAGAAATGCTAGTACTTTTTCAAGGAATAAATGGCAAAATGGTATTAATCAAGGTAATATTCTAGGGCAAGAAAGAACTATATTTCCAGGAATTAGTGGACAAGTAATTCAGGAGAACTTTATATACGATAGAATATTAAAACAACAACCATGGTTATACAAATCTACTTATAGCAAAATGTATGAGATAATATCAAAAGATAAAATATCCTTTATAGATGATATGATTAGTCAATTTTTAGAAGTAGGAGCTTATAGACCGATGACGAATAGATTGCAATTGTGTAAAAATAGATTGACAACTGCTAGAGGGGCGAAACTTAATATATATATCGATGGATCAGTCAAAAATAATAAAACAGAAAATATTGAAGCAATATTTGGATTAATGATTTACGATGAAGATAATAAATTATTAGATACAATAATGTCAACAGTGGAAAATTGGATTACAGTCAATAAAACAGAAGCTTTGGCACTTTTAGCAGCTTTATTAATTATACCAGAAAATAAGAAAGCTACGATTTATACAGATAGTCAAACAAATTACAACAATTTTATGGACATCAAACAAAGACCACATAGAAATAATTTAAGAGATATACTAAAATTTGGATCTAGTAATTATATTTGGGCTATTATTAAAGAAATAATTTCTAAAGAAAAACTGGATATAGAAGTAATTAAGATTAAAGCTCATGCAACAGATACATTACATAATATATTGGATATAGAAATCAAAGAAAGATATGTTGATATTCATAACGTTAATAAATTAGAAGTGTTGCCAACATGCAAAGAGTATAGATATGTGCTAAGATGGAATGAAACAATAGTGGAAACTAATATAAGAAGATTTATTAGATTAATTACGCGGATACAAGGGCTAGAAAAATTTTTTAACTTAAATAGAAATGATAAATACAGAATGTTGGAAATAGATTGGCACGTGACTTTTGAATACTTAAACGTTAATGAAGAATATGAAACGTATTTTAAAACAAATGCTCACTCTTCGAAGTGTAAAAGAATGAAGTACAAAGACTAATTGAAGAAATGTCGACAATAGAACAAATGAAAAAATCTTCTTATGACTTATATAAAGATAGATTATGTCCTTGTTGTAATAAGAAAGAAGAAAGTTTCGATCATGTGTGGACTTGCAGAAATAATAGAAAATATATTAAAGACCTAATAATGGAAACGATAGAAAAACTTATTGATTTATTAATACGAAATGGCGTCGATGTAGAAAAAATTGTCAAAGATGATTTGCTGAATCTTCCTACGTTTCAAAGAAAAAAGAATATTAATAACTTCTGTTTTATAGATATGATAAAAGGAATTTTTCCTTTAAGTCTTTTGAGAAAAATTTTATTTTTTGTAGGAGAAACAAAAGAAAAAATAGCTCGTACAATAAGTATAGAATTACTAAATTTTATTTTTGAAAAGGTTAATTCAGGAATTTGGAAGAAAAGGTGTGAAAAAATGAAACAAGTCGACAAATCTTTGGGTATCTTGAAAATGGACAAAAAGAAACCTGACTCTATCTTCGTAAAAGAAAAAGAAAAGGAGTTACAATTAAAAAGGAAATTGGGAAATTATCCATTATATGAGGGATTAATCAGCGTTAGGGAGCACATATTGTTTGGTAAAGAAATCCTGGGTTTTATGGGGTATGTGATCCGGGTGGTTAAATTCTATGTATATAATTCTTGTTCTTTCCGTTACCTTTAAAGGTACGGAGTTTAGTCCTTTTTAGTAATTTTAACTTAACTCAGTTGTCGTTGGTAGTCTTTTATGTATTTAATTTTCTACTAAGTCTAGTTATAAGGTTTGTAGTCCCATATAGTTTTACTATCTGACCAGGTACCTATAACTCCACATTCCTGTAATCTCAATCTTTATCAATAAATATGCGCTATGCGCTTGTGAACTGAAAAAAAAAAAAAAAAAAAAAAAAAAAGAAAAAAACCTTATTTATCACATTTTTTCGCATTTGTCTTGTACAATAGATTGGGATTTGGTCATATGCTGCAGAAATATTTTTTGCTTCTTTTGTCTTGTCACATTTATCCAAAGAAGGAATTTTCCATACAAAATTTAATGTACCGAGATAATTGCCATGATAATAACGATATAGCGTGAAGGATACATCAGCACAAATATTTTGAAAAAAGAGATATATATTTTGTGGCTTGGGAGGAAGCAAATGATCTATATTTAGAAGATCATAATCATTGGATTCACGAAGAAGCTGTGCTAAAAACTCATATTGAGATGGATATAAGTCAACAGCTTCAATATCCTCAACTGTAATATCATCCCGCCCATTTCTTACAGGAACTAGACTCGTATGTAT